TGTGTGTATGTGTGTGTGTGTGTGTGTGTGTGTGTGAGTGTGTGTGTGTGTGTGTGTGTGTGTATGTTTGCCATTGTACTGTCTGTCCCTGTGGTTTTTTGCACCCCGCATAATCGAGCAAAATTTGATCATTTTTGGCCTAATTTCTATTTATTTTCCTTTATCATTCTTTGTTAAAACTAACTGAATCGCATAATTTCACATTTTTGGACTCAGTTTGCATAATTTTGTTTGCATAATTTCAGAATTTAAAAAAAATTCTGCATAAAACTGCGGGGACAGATCGTATGAGAAGTCTTCAAGCGAGAGCGAGGCTCTTTGTCGGCTCCATTGTCAATATACTCAGAGTAGAAGGACATGTACCTCCACTCGTCTAAATAAATACAAGTAACTCCATTCGAGTTGTCATTGTTCCTGCATATTCATACATAATATGTGAGACGTGCTGACAAAATGAGTTACTTCTCACAATCCACAAATGGAGATATTGGCCACAAATCGACACTCGAGTCAAATTTGTAGATTTTCTGTTGATACCGTATTCTTTAAGTATTCATGCCTTATATTATTTCAAGCTAATAAATTGTAAAAACTTCACCTATAAGCGTGATGTAGCGATTTCCATAGGGCTAGATCCGAGAAGTAACTCATTTAGTCAGCACACTTCACATATTATTTTTTTATGTTTGACATCCTCCTGTTCATGGTTGCATCTTGGACAATGTGGCTAGAGCTCTTCATTCCCAGAGTTCTGATATTATCTTCATCAAGCACTGCCTCAATTGATTTCTTTTCCTTCCACAATACTCTTAGCAGTCTCCTAAGAAACCACATTTCTGTTGCTTCTATTTTATTTTCACTGTCTTTAGTGATTGTCCAGCATTCACAGCCATATAGAAGGGTTGATCAAACATAGCATTTCAGGACGGAGATACTCCATCAAAAAGCTCTCCAGCCTACAGTCTTCCACTGACTAGTCGAAATATTCCTTTTCCACACGGACTCTCATGCCCATTCCCACAGTGCAACCGGTTAACCCTATCCGTAAGCCTGTGGTCATTTTGAACCCCCAGAGTTGTATTCTTCACATTTATTTAGAATACTTCTAGTGCGAAGATCTCTTTGAAAATTTCAGTATTTCTCAACAAATCATTTTGACAGACTGCTATGCAAAGCGTACGGACCGGCTTAACGAGTAAATTTCTTCTTTGGAAAGTGGTGACACAGAGTTCCCCACGTCGTATGGATACGATAGTAAAACACGACGTACGGAAAGGGTTAAGTGGTGGCACAGAGTTTCCCACGTCGTGTGGATACGATAGTAAACCACGACGTACGGATAGGGTTAAAAGATAACTGATATATATATGTGAGACATCATGGTGAAATCAAGCGCTCGTCAAAATAAAGAAATTAAAGAATTTGTTTGGCCTATTGGCAATTTTTTCCTTATTTTCTTTTATGTCCATTTAAAAACACACGCGTGGATTTAACGGAAAATTTTTATTTAAAGGCACAAAAAATGTACATTTTCAGTTTCCAAGGACTCTCAGTCTCAGACTATAGCAGTTACCAAACTTTGGCAGCCATTTTCTCCCGAATTTTACATCTGGAATCAGGCGACCCTGACCTCCTTCAATCGCGATATTTCGACTTCTATTCAACATAGATGGATATTTTTTTCACCAAAAGGAAGGCAAATGAACAGGCTTTAAGAAGATACCGATAACCCCATTTGCCCAAAAATTGACGAGCGCCAGACAGCACCACGGCGTGCAACACATAGCGCCTAGCGGTGCAAACATGGGCCCGACAAAGTGAACAGACTAGAATTGGGTCACGACGCAGGGGGAATCAGGCACTCGTCAATTTTTGTGCATGTGGAGTCATTGGTAAAGCTTGTTCATTTATCTTGCTTTTATTATTGAAAAAACTACCCCCATCTATCTTGAGCAGAAGTGAAGATATCTGTGATTGAAAGAGGTACAAAAATATCTGTGATTGAAAGAGGTACAAAGATATCAATGAAAGAGGTAAGTTCACTTGGTCTCAGAGGTAAAAATACCAAGAAAATGGCCGCCAAAGTTTGGTAACTTCAATAGCTAAAGAGTCCTTGAAAACTGAAAAATTACATATTTTGAGCCTTTAATCAACGTTTTTTAATGACAATATAATTCACACGGATATGTGGGTTTTTTTAATATAAGAGGGTTGAACAAAAAACCAAAATTTGATTAAAATTGCGAAACTGGCGGGAAAATGCCGGTTTCTCTAATTTTGTTATTTTGACGAGCGTCTGATTTCACCACGATGCCTCACAATTATCGAATTACTGTAGAACGGAGTCTGTAGGAAAAGAGGTAGGCATCTTAGAAGGTTGGTATTTCAAAAGGTAGGTATTTTATTCAGTGTTTAAGGCCATCAGCCCACATCACATAAAATATACACACACATTTTACAGAAAAGACTTCCATAAAAACAGCATAAATTATAAATGACATACATATGTGAGAGGTGCAGACAAAATGAGTCACTTCTCAATCGACACAGGTGTCAAATTTTGTAGAATTTCTATAAATGCCATATTCTTTTAACTATAACATGCCTTTAATTATTTCACACTAATAAATTATAAAAACTTCACCTATAAGCGTGATAGGCCTATATCTTTTTTTTCCCATAAGTCTTGAATCCGAGAAGCAACTCATTTTGTCAGTACGTTTCACACATGTGAGGCAGCCTGGTGGAATCAGGCTCTCGTCAAAATAATCAAAGTGAAGAAACTTGCATTTTTCAGCAGGTTTGTGAATTTTTATCAAATTTTTGTTTTTTGGCTCAACACCTTTCATGCCCATTAAAGAACTCATTTCTGTGTGGATTTTTTCTGAAAAAACGTTGATTAAAGGTTTAAAAAAAAGTAAATTTTCAGTTACCACGGACCCTTAACCTTAGGAAATAACTAATCTTTGGCGGTAATTTTCTCACTAATTTTACCTCTGAAAACAGGTGACCCCCACCTCCTTCATTCACAAATATCTCGACTTGTATTCAAGATAAATGGATATTTTTTTCACCCAAATAAAGACAAGTGAACACACTTTAAGATGATACCAATAACTCTACATGCCCAAAAATAGACAAGAGCCTGATTCCACCACGCTGTATCACATCATATATCAATTACAATTATATTTTAAAATCATTTTGTGTTGTCACACAAAGCTATCACAACAAAACAGTATAAGATGTACACTTTAGAGGGGAGAAGGAAGAGAGGAACGAATATCTGGAAAGGAAAGACGTCGCCATAATCAGACAGCCACCGCAACAATCAGTGTGGATACCTTGCGGGCTTTGGTGCTGGGGGAAACTGAGCACTTATGGACCTGTCCGGTGTGCAATGACGTTGTTGCCCAGGACAGGCAATACAGGTAATACATATGTACACACACCTTCCCCCACGGGTCGTTCAACATTGTACACTTTTATCTCTACTTTTTTTTTCCACTTTTGTCACTGGCATGAAACAGAATACAGTGGAAGAGAACCATTTTCTTAAGAACCTTCGTTGAGATTTCTCATACAGTCACCATTGGCTCTAACGTGAGGACATCTCTCTTTCTCTTTCTCTCTTTCTCTCTCTGTCTCTCTGTCTCTCTGTCTCTCTGTCTCTCTCTCTCTCTCTCTCTCTCTCTCTCTCTCTCTCTCTCTCTCTCTCTCTCCCAACCCTCTCTCTCTCAACCCTCCCTCCCTCTCCCTCCCTCATCCCTCCCTCTCTCTCTCTCAACCCTCCCTCCCTCTCTTTCAACCCCCCCTCTACCTCTCTCCCTCTCAATTCCCCCCCTCCCTCTCCCTTCCACACATCAAGACATCTGAGCGGACACTGTGCGAGTCATCAGCGCGAACAACCTGGCCACCACGTGAACATTCAGACTGTTCCCCAGGACACGGTACAACTGCAGCGGCGAAAAACCGGCAGGAAAATCTGGGGAAAGAGAAGATGGAGAGATAAAATGTGAAGCGTGCTGACTAAATGGGTTACTTCTCAGATTCGAGCCCTATGGAAATTGCTACATCACGCTTATAGGTGAAGTTTTTACAATTTACAAGCATGAAATAATATAATGAATGTTATACTTAAAGAATATGACATCAACAGAAAATCTACAAATTTGACCTGAGAGTCGATTTTCAGTCAATATCTCCATTTGTGGATTGTGAGAAGTAACTCATTTTGTCAGCATGCCTCACAAATACAAAAAACTTTCGAGATAATCTGGTGAAAGAGAAGAGGGAGAGACCAAATAGGATAACCTTCGAGAAAATCTGGAGAAAGAGAAGATGGAGATCAAACAGATTTTGAAAAGTCAATTTTTCAAGACTAAAAAATAATATAATTAAAGAACATGATAATATGTGTCATGACGCGGTGGCATCAGGCGCTCGTCAATTTTGGGGCATATGGAGTTATTGGCATCATCTTGAAGCCTGTTCATTTGCCTTGCTTAGGGTGAAAAAAAATCAACTTATCTTGGATACATTTCAAGTTATTAGCAATTGTAGGAGGTGGGGGTCGCCTGGTTTTAGAGGTAAAATAAACGAGAAAATGACTGCTGATGTTGAGTTATTTCCTTTGCTTGAGAATCCGTGGAAACTGAAAATTTTCATCCTTTATGCCTTTAATCAAAATTTTTCAGTAAAATTCACACAGAAATGTGTTCTTTAAAGGGTATGAAAGGCGTTGAGCCAAAAAACAAAAATTTGATCAAAATTCCCAAACCTGCGGAAAAATGCCAGTTTCTTCACTTTGATTCTTTTCATTTTGGGTTCAACACCTTTCATGCCCTTTAAAGAATACATTTCTGTGTGGACTTTACAGAAATACGTTGATTAAAGGCACAAAAAATGTAAATTTTCAGTTTTCACCTACTCTCAAGCTTAAAGAAATAACTAATCATGGGCGGCCATTTTCTCACTCATTTTACCTCTAAAACCAGTTGACCCCCACCTCCTGCATAGGCAAATATCTCATCTTGTCTTCAAGATAAAATGGGTATTTTATTTTTATCCAAAGCAAGATAAATAAACAGGCTTTAAGATGATACCAATAACTCTACATGCCCAAAAATTGACGAGAGCCCAGTTCTACCGCGTCGTGGCACATATATTTATTATCATAGCAAAAACAATGATGATAATAATGATGATTATGACGAAGATAATCATCACGTGTACTCAAATGACAAAAGATGACCTACAACTGAATCCTGAACTCCATCATCCCCCC